CCGGACGCCTCCGCCGCCGCCTCGTCGTCCTCGTCGCCCGCATCCGTGGGGGACCCGTGCGGCGGCGCCGTCTGCGGGGGTCCGGACCACCGGCTGCGCCTCTGGAGCCTCTTCCAGACGCTCGACGTCAACCGCGACGGCGGCCTCTGTGTCAACGACCTGGCCGTGGGGCTGCGGCGCCTGGGACTGCATCGCACCGAGGGCGAGCTCCGGGTAGGCGGCGCGCACCCTCCGCGCGGGTGGGCGGGGGGCCCCTCCGCGTCCCGGCGACGCCGCGAGGTCCCGGCGTCCGCTTTGGACCCCGGGTGACAGGTCCGACGGCCAGACTTCTTGGGCAGGTCTGAAGCTTGGCAGGTCTGGCGGACGACGTCGTGGGTTGGGTGGAACACTGAGTAGCAGATGGACACCCCATGTCTGCCTTAGTGAGAGTGGAGCTCCTTGTCCTCTGTGGGTGTCTGGGCCGTGGGGGAAGCTCTGAGGGGCACAGGAGGTCACTGTCGGGGGCTTTCTGATGGGTGAAAAGGCCATCGGGCTTTCTCCAAAGTAGAAAGCCAAGTCCGACCTTTGTCACCGCCCCTCCGGACCTCAAGGCTAAGTTAGACGCTCCCCCCAACCCTCCCCACCCCTGAGGCCGGCTCATCCATACTTTTCCAGCGCGCCGCTCCCTTCTCCGTTTCCATGCCAGCGGGAGGCCGATCTGGTTCCTCTTAGAAGCATGTGGGAGTCGGGGGAAAGAAAAATGGGAACTGGGTTTTCAAGCGGGTGGTTAAGAATGTGGGTGGTGAGGACTGACAGTTCTTTATCGGGGTTTAGGCTCACTGTCATTGACCGAAAGTTCCTTCAGGGCAGTGCTTCGGATTAAGGGTTAGAATGGAGGTGTAAACTGTCCCTAAAAGTGACTATCCCCGGAAGGAACACGGGCTCTTGCTTTAGCACTAGGGGAGACGGGATGGCCATCCCTGGGCTGCGGAAGCTTCTCTGTCTCCCCACCTGGAGCCCAGGCTGTTTCTCCCCTTCCATCTCTCCTCCACTCTGGAGCTGTTGCTCCCCTTAGCCCGATTTGCAGCCCGGAGTAGGGCTACAAGTACTTCACCTAGTAACCTAGTTCTCTTCTGAGTTCTTTTGGTCCATTCCCACATACAACAATTTGAGACGCTGGTAGCCGAGTGTGAAAACCCGGTAAAACGGCAGTGGCGTCAACCTGATTCTTGCCCAAGGGGTGGGTGGACGTGGAGAGGTTTCTATAACTCAAGTCCAAGGTATTTTGGGTCCACATCCCAGGTATTTCACCCACTTAGGATGAGCCAGGGACGCGGAGGGCAGCTCCGCACAAGATAGAATCATTGGGTTAAGTCCAAGAGGTGGAGCAAATGTTTTTTTAAAAAAATGAGTTTTACACAAAATGGCGTTGTGAGCTGGGTTCCATGCCTATCTGATGAACAAATGACCTGGACGGTTAGGATGGCTAAGCCCAGATGGGCTGTGTGTCTCGGAGATGCAGGCTACGGGAGCCTTTCTGCTTTTCTGAACCTGCCTGCTTGGCGTAAGCTGCCAGGCCCGCAGCAGCATGGTACCTGGTGTTCCTGTTTGCACCATGCTCTGTGCCCCAACTGGAATCGTGGTGCTCTCGTAGCCCAGGGCACATCTGTTATTGACCTTCATCCATTTTTTGGTAGTTAATTTCTAAGGACAGATAAAGAGAAAATGATCGTTTTTCTTTTCCAGAATGGAAAGAAAACGTTTTTGATTAACCAGAGGGGTTACCGTGGGGTCCCATCCTCTTCAAAATCTTTTGATTCTGTGACTGTGTGGAACACATTCTCACATTTGCATGTCACCGGCCATGCTAATCTGTGTCAGTGCAGTTTAGTTCAGGAGTGGCTTTGGTCTGGACTCTACTCTTTCAGCTTTTGAATACATTAAGTTGTCACAGCACTTTGAGAGAGACTGGGAGCAAACTGCCCCTTGCTTCTTGTTTATGATGCTTGAGGAGTGCAAGTTAGTCCCCTGTTGAATGGTTTTTAAGTATTAGAGAGAGAATCAGCCTTTTTGTATATACTGGGCACCAGGAAGACTCCCTGCCTCGTGCCCCCCCACTTCCTGTTGAAATAGTATCAGTATTAGCTGAGTGCAGAGCAAACAGTGCCCAGTTTTGCAAACTACTGAGAGCCAAGAGAGAATTCGAGGCCCCTTGGCTTTGAAATGGGTCATCTGCGGGGTGGGGGGTGGGTGGGGGGGTGGGCAGGGCACAGAGAAGCCCTCAAGTTGGGGCAGCTGCTTCGTGTAACCCACAGGCCCAGCCAGAGGGGCTCGGGGTTCAGCCGAGCACTTGTCAGTGGGTGATGGGTGAGGCTTTGTGTGGACACAAAGCCTTTTGCCAGTCTGCAGCGGCTCGGTCAAGTTTTCTTTTGAAATGAACCAACACTTCTGCCTTCATTTCGAGAAGAGGTGGGGACAGTGATGGGAAAATTAGTTAATATGGAAGTAGGCAGAAAAGGCGATGCCAGGCAGTAGCCAGGGACAATTTCTATGGAAAGGGCGTAGGAGCAAGAAGCAAGAGACGGCAAGGAAGGGCTTTTTAGGGGAAAAAAGACGACACCTCGCAGAGACTTTGGGGGATGAGACTAAAGCTGGAGTTAATTATAGCATTGCCTCTTTAAGGCATTTTCATGTGACCAAACAAAAGCTTTGTCTTACAACAAATTTAAAACATAGGTTAGAACTCAGGCAGCCCAATTAGAGGAAGAAGCAAAGCTGTGGTTGTCCCTTGAGCTGAGGCTTGTGGGCCTCCTGGTGTTCTAGAAGGGCATCATGGTTTGCTAACCATCCCATCTAGCGGGACCCTCCCATAACTGAAGTAGGCAAGCCAGCCACGTTGCCCTGCTGTACAGGTCACGGGGCACGGAACAGAGGTTTAAAAAGACTAAAACGGCCCTCCCTGGTGGCACAGCGGGTTAAAGCACAGCACTGAGAATCTAAAGCCGCTTCCGCATGAGTTCGATCCCCGCCTGCCCCGGAGGTGACCCACATGGCGAACAGACCTCTCCTGCCTCTCCCGCTGCTCCCCTCAGCAGTGTACTTCGTCCATTTGCCTGTTCTGCTCCCCACTCTGTCTCTGGTGAATCCTCTCACCCTCCGCATCTCTGGCCTGTACCCCAGTTCTATATGAATAAATAAATCTTTAAAAAAAAGACTAAAGCACCTCCAGACTCCTCTGATCCCCAAGGAGTTAGCCCGGAGCAGTTCTGCACTGTCTTCTGACGCCGGCCCCCTCCCCCGTTTGTATGTGGAGCACGGAGACAGTGCCAAGCTGGGCTTTGGGGAGAGTTTGGGAAAGATGAGAATCAATTTGAGCCACATCTGTTCTTCCCAACATAGGCTTGCAGATTATCCAGAGCTTCTCCTGGCCAATCCCGAGACTCCCCCCGGCCCTCTTTCTCTCCTTGACCTGAGCAGTGGACACAAGGCAACCACTCTCTGTTGACTTGAAATAATTGAGCAGAAAATCATTCCTGTCGAGGTGGTATTGCTTAATCAGACAGTACTGCCGAACCGGAGACCTTTTCAATGTTTGACCATTTGTGGGGAAGGTGTTTGCCTAAGTAGCTGCCCATAGACACAAGAGTCTCTGGAAGAAAGAGCCTTTTTATAGAAAAGACCAAGTTGCCCTTTGCTGTAATATAATTCCATTAGAAAAGGAAAAGCACTATTTGCAGATTGGATTGAGTTCATATATTGAACCGGGGTGTGCCCTCGTTGCAAAGTCGGCCTCTGACTGGAGGTATTTACCCACCAGCCGGCTGGAGGGTCTTTTAGGAATCAGTTGGTGACTTGG